GCTATTATCATTAGCAAACTAATGCAGGAACAGAAAACTTAATACCATGTAATCACTTATAAGTGGGAGCTAAATGATGAGAACTTATGAACACAAAGAAGGAAACAACAGACACTTGGGGTCTACTTGATGGGGGAGGGTGGGAAGAAGGAGAAAAGATAATTATTCAGTACTGGGATTAATACCTGGGTGATGAAATAATCTATACAACAAACCCATGTGACACGATTTTAGCTATATAACAAAGCCTTCAAATGTACCCCTACACCTAAAAGTTAAAAAAAAAAAAAAAAAAAAAAAAGCACTACCAAGTAGCAATTGTTAACTATTTTATTATTCTATTAGATGGGTATATTTGTCTTGGTTTTATCTTTGAAAGTTGCCTAAGTAATACTCATCAAATATTTAAATGTGATGTAGATTAGAATACAGTAGCTGAAAGGATGTTGAAGTATTTGTAATTCTAGATAATTTTGGAAATATTGCTATATAGACATGGTAATGATATGGTTTATGAATTCCCATTGATATTGAGAAAGCAGTCAAGAAATATGACTTTTCTTGCCATCATCTCAGTGCAACTACATAAAATAGGAATAATGGGCCGGGCGCCGTGGCTCAAGCCTGTAATCCCAGCACTTTGGGAGGCCGAGGCGGGTGGATCACGAGGTCAAGAGATCAAGACCATCCTGGTCAACATGGTGAAACCCCGTCTCTACTCAAAATACAAAACATTAGCTGGGCATGGTGGCGCGTGCCTGTAATCCCAGCTACTCAGGAGGCTGAGGCAGGAGAATTGCCTGAACCCAGGAGGCGGAGGCTGCAGTGAGCCGAGATCGCGCCATGGCACTCCAGCCTGGGTAACAAGAGCGAAACTCCGTCTCAAAAAAAAAAAAAAATTATGGTACCTACCTCATAAGGTTGTTGTGAAGATTAAAGGGCAATAAATGTTAGCTACAGCTATTACTGGAACATTCAACCATTTTGGACCATATAACCTGTTCCTATTCAATCAGACTCAAATCCTTAAAATACCATCTCACAATTTAGAGGCAAGGAATGAATCTATATTAAGAATGTTAAAAAAGATTTTTATCATGAAGTCAACATTAGAGTCAATACTTTATTTTTATCAAACTAATTATCCAAGCTAATAAAGCATATCTGTGAAGTGTAATGAATTTCAATCCACTCGCATCAGCTGACCAAAGTAAACAAAGCAATCAGTGTGACTTCTGAGAGAGACGTTTATCAAACCCTTGGACCAACACAGCCAACAGTTTAGCCCAGGGACATCTGTACTCTATGAATCTTTTTTGGATGGTAGATAGCTCCTGCCAGGGACAGAACAAACTGTTTTTTTAATGTGATCCCCTCCTTCCTATTTCCTAGTCATGGAAGAGTAATTGCCATAGATTTGCTCCAAAAAAGTAAGATTAAATGAACAGTTTGATTGTATTTAAACTTGGCAAAAAAAAAAAAAAAAAAAAAAAAAAAAAGGAGGAGAAATGAATGCAAAAGTAATTTCAGTTGGAATTGATCTAGAATGGAATTTTACAAGTGGTTTATGCACCCTAACTGAGCAAAGTATACCTTCAATTTCTTGTGGAAGAATTCAGTACTTGCATTTTGTGGATGAGCAGCTCAGAATTTCTGAAAGGGAGAAATCTTGGTATTTTGGGTGGAAGAGTTCTTCATTATGAGGGGCTGTCCCACGCCTGATGCATCCCATCACATCTATTATCTGTCTCCTGGAGTATTAAATGCTGGTAATTCCCCCAATCTCCCCTCTCCCCACTCCCAGATTCACAAACCTTCCAAGAGATGGGTAAGACTACTGTGTTAATAAACGAAGAGATAAAGAGGAATATTCACTTAATTTGATGTTGTAATAATTTTATTTTATTTTTTAATCCTCTGAAGTTATGAAGACTGAGATGACATTTACTGAGACAAGTATTTCTTCACTGATTAAACCCCAGATTTCACAGATTCAGGTTAGTAAGCTAGATTTGAAGTCACTTCACAACATTCCAGGAGAGACAGGAAGAGCTGTGGGGAAGACAACGGACTGGTGCTAGCTCTATCGCTCTCTAGCTGTAATTATCTTGGGCAACTTTTTCTAACAAAGGGATAATACTGCTATTCACCTCGTAGGCTTATTGTGACAATTTATAACCTGCTGAGCCCTGTTCCTGGTACTCAGTAAGCACTTAAATGGTTCTAGTCACACTACTGGCACAGACACTTGTAAAATATTCGAAAGTGTGACTAGGACCATTTCTAGGACATAGCGGGTTAGGGTCAATTCTGAGCTTCAAACTTCAGGGGTCCTAGCTACCCCAATAATCAGCAGCTCAGCTGTTACTAGCTCATGGGGGGGGGGCGGGGGGAAGCTCAAAGGGAGCCCCTCCCTCCCTTCACCAAAACAAAGACGTGAGATTCCCCTTTATGCCCTCAGACTGCATACTTTTGTGACTTCCTTCTCCCTCAGAAGATTCCTTTGACACCTACTTTCTCTGGGATAAAAATGTGGTGTAGAAGTAGTGCACAGTGTAATTATAACTCAGGCCCAGTTCTCTCCACCCTCTAGGGGAAATCCCATCCAACCCAAATGTCTCGAGGGACAACTCTATCTGAAGTACTCTTTATTGAGATGGTGTCTCACTCTGTCACCCAGGCTGAAGTGCAGTAGTGCTATCTCTGATAACTGCAACCTCCACCTCCCAGGTTCAAGCAATTCTCCTGCCTCAGCCTCCCTAGTAGTTGGGATTACAGAAGCAAGCCACCATGCCAGCTATTTTTTCGTTTTTAGACAGAGTTTCACTTAGTTGTCCAGGCAACAAAATAGAGTGCAATGGCGTGATCTCGGCTCACTGCAACCTCTGCCTCCCAGGTTCAAGTGATTCTCCTGCCTCAGCATCCGAGTAGCTAGAATTACAGGCACCCTCCAGCATGCCCAGCTAATTTTTTGTATTTTTAGTAGAGATGGGGTTTCATCATGTTGGTCAGGCTAGTCTCAAACTCCTGACCTGAGGTGATCCACCTGCCTTGGCCTCCCAAAGTGCTGGGATTACAGACATGAGCCACCATGCCTAGCCTAATTTTCGTATTTTTAGTAGAGACAGTTTCACCGTGTTGGCCAGGCTGGTCTCGAACTCCTGACCTCAAGTAATATGCCTGCATATGCCTCCCAAGGTGCTGGGATTATAGGTGTGAGCCACCGTGCCTGGCTGTGAAGTACTATTTTAAATAAAGAATAGTATCTGCAACAAGAATGGAACTGAAATATTGCCAGTACCCCATTTACTATAGAAATAAGACTTCTGACGCACTCAGGAAAACCTGAGCATTAAAACAATTTTTGTTCTATATTTTAAAAATATGAGTAGAGGAATTTGTTACATTTATAAAATAGACTACTCATCCTCTTTGCCTTTTTGAAAAGGGCAAATATTTTACCTGTCTAAGCGTGAAAGTTCATTTTCACATCTCTTCCTATTGCTGTCTTGTATATTTGCAGAATTTACTTTTTGGGTTCCTCTGGATAGAGCAAGCACTAGCCTTGTTATAAAATGAGGGTTATCTCAGGTGAATTACAGTTCTTCAGATAGCTAGTTTCAAGTACAAATGAGGACAAGAATGGCTGAAAGCTGGTGCACCACACAACTGGGTTTGCCTTTTGTTTAAGTGAAAAGAGCTAAAGAAATAGGGACACCAACGTGGCACATACGTAGGCGCCATGCACCGTGGTTTAACAATGAAGCCATGGCCAGAGTTCACTTGTGTAATGTACTATTTAAGAAAGTACGAGTCAAGCACAAAGAGGGGACATAGTTAACTTCAGCTATAAAACAGATAAACTGCATCAGTTTAGGACTAGAGTGACCTTATGATGAGGTGCAAATATGTAAATATGCATAAATATTACTTTATTGTGCTTGAAATTTGCTTTATTACAAAGAATTCCTAGACACATTCTGATTTCCAATTCTTTGTATTTTTCTTACATTTACAAGTTGTTCTTAGTTGCATATTATTATGTAATATTTGTAGTCGAAAGGACTATTTTATTGTATCGTTAGAAATCATTGGTAGTTTCTTATTTATTTATAGTGTGTCTAAAGATTTTGTTACTCCGATGTTAGAAAATTTTACAGCTAGTTTTCCTCATTTTACAAATGAGGTGTACAAAGCCCACAGACATTTGCCTTTCTCAAGGTCACAAACAGAAGGACTCTTGCAGCAAACCCAGGATTAGCATTGAGACTGTCAACTCCACTTTTTGAACCACATCTCACAGCCTCTGTGAATCGACATCGCAAAGAAGCAATATGACTATCTGGGCAACAGAGTCTAGCTTTAGTTTATAGTCTAAAACAAAGGGCACTTACTTTTGTTTCACTTTCTTGAGAAATCTAAACATTCCATGTAAGGATTTACATGGCAAATAGATACAACAAAGTGAATTTGTTTGGCATAAACAATGATCCATGTAAGTGCATGTTATCAACTTCTGTGAAATCCAGACAGTTCAAAGGAGTTAATAAGGTAAAACAAGTATAACTTTTCTTTTTTTATGAGACGGAGTCTCGCTTTGTCACCCAGCCTCAAGCGCAGTGGTGCTATCGCGGCTCACTGAAACCTCTGTCTTCCAGGTTCAAGCCATTCTCCTGCCTTAGCCTTCCGAGCAGGTGGGACTGTAGGCGTGTGCCACCATGCCTGGCTAATGTTTGTATTTTTACTAGAGACAGGGCTTTACTGTGTTAACCAGGCTGGTCTTGGACTCCTGATGTCAGGTGATCCTCCTGCCTTGGCTTCCCAAAGTGGGATTGTATCTATACAACGTTGTATCTATACACAATCCCAAAGTGGGATTACAGGTGTGAGCCACTGTGTCTGGCCCTAACTTATCTTTAAGCATACTGTTGTCAGGTACATTCAAAGGCTAAAGGAGAGCTACATTATGAACAATAATTAATTTTAAAATGACATTAGCCTTTAACAACAGATTACTTAAAAAGTTTATTTTCGTTAATGATAGGAATATTTTCTCAGTAAGTTCAAACCATTTTATAACAGGGAGGGATAAGCTAGTGTTAGATCTAGAAAAGTTAATACAGCATTATCTTGAAATTTCAGGGGGAAAAAGTAGTTGACTGGAACTTCACCTATCCTTTTTAACCAATGTTAAACACACCTGAATAGAAAACTGTATCTGGTTCTTTTATATTCAAATGTAAAATATTTTAATGGAGAAAATTCCATTTTTCTTCATCTATTTAGATGCTATTACAATAAAGGCAGTGTGGACTGCAGAACGTAGCTAGTGAGAATATCAGGTAATGTAAATTTAAGAAGAAATTAGCTTTTCCATATGAAATAAAATCAATGATCACATAAATTCAACATGATAATGAGGACTAAAGTAAAAATACAAAGTACAATATAGCTTTCAGTTTCTTGTTCAGCACATATATTAATAAATTTTCAAACATCAAACAATATAACACCAAAATTTACTAAAACCACAGTAAGATTACTAAAGCTTAGTTAATTATTAACATCTTAAAAGCCTAATTCCCATTATGAATTCTGTAATCAAGAATATTCTCTCTGCTGTGCAAGCTAGTCAAAGCACCACCTTTTTCAGGATTCTCCAGAATTCATAAGTATTTTAAAGTTAAAACAAGTTGAACCCACAATTCCTTATTGAATTTGGTGAGTCTTCTGAACAGGCCTTCATTTATCAGAACATATGCATATACTGATCACAATTTTGAAAAGAATGGAAGGCCTTCATACATGTCCGTTTTTAATTTTATCCAATCATTAATTTTCTGCAGAGTTGTTTTTTCTTGACTTAATATTTTTGCAACTTTTTTCATTTTTTGTTCATTTCTTTCAATGTATTTCAACCCTTCCAACTGCAGCTGATCCAGCTTTTCATTTCGACTTTCATCTAGAGGTATGTTTTCACACATTACAGGATTGAATCTAAAATAGGTGTCAGGAGGTAACAGGCCATCAAGCATTATATGGACTTCTGTTAAAACAAAAAAAAGATAGGAGGGTAAGAAAAGAGGGGACAGAGTGAGTTATTCTGCAATGAACTGCTAATTTCTTTATTAAAAATTATCTTTTTAGGCACATTCCAAAGATTCACTTATTTCATTATTCAAACTAACAGAAGTAAGTATTCCATAATGGGTAAAACGACAAGATAAAATTGATCTTCCAAAATACTTTATATTATTCTGTGAAATTAGTATAGTTGTTCTATTCTCTCTGTGCTTTTGGTCATACTGTTTCACCACTGCTGAAACACTCTTTCCAACCTTACATTTTTTATGTTTTAAATTTTTGGGGATAATCTTCATTGACATATCATTTATATCCAGTGCAATTCACTAATTTTAACTGTATAGTTTGACAAGTTTTGACAAATGTACACACTTGTGTAACCACAACAACAATCGTGACATAGCCATTTCCCTCACAGTAAAAAGTTCCTCAAACCTTTTTTATAGTTGATCCCCACTTTCCCTTTTCTAGAATTTCATGCAAACAGAATCACAAGCATCTACCTTCTTTTACGTAGCAAAATGCTTTTGGGATTCATCCATGCTGTAGCATATAGTTCCTTTCTTTTTATTGCTAAACAGTGTTCCACTGTATAAATACAACACAGTTTGTTCTCTGCAGTTCTGGTCTAGCTCTCTTCAGTTTTTAGCTACTAGAAATAACCCTATTATAAACATCTACACATAGGTCTTCATGTGAATGTATGATTGCATTTCCCTTGGGCAAAAACCTAGGAATGGGTTCATATGATAAAGGATATGTTTATTTTTCTAAATAAACGCCACCACACTGTGTTCCAAACTGGCAGTACCATTCTGTATTTCAACCACTAATATATTAGGGTTCTCACTGCTTGACACCTTTGCTCATAGTTACTGTGTCAGGTCTTAAGTTTTGCATTATAGAGGGTGTTTAGTGGTATCTTGTGGTTTAATTTTCATCTCTCTAATGACTAATAATGTTGAGAAAGAAGGTTTTCATGTACTTACTAGTCATCTGTATATCTTGTTCAATGAAGTGTCTGTTCAAATGTTTTGTCCATTTTTTCACTGAATCACTGTCACACATATATATATGTATATATGTGTGTGCATGTGTGTGTGTGTATGCGGGTGTATCTCCTGGGCTCAAGCAATCCTCCTGCCTCAGCCTCCCAAGTAGCTGGGAATACAGGTGTGTGCCACCATGCCCAAACAGTTTTTTTATTTTTCTGTAGAGATGGGCTCTCCCTATATTGACCAGGCTGGTCTCGAACTTCTGAGCTCAACTGATCCTCCCAAAGTGCTGGGATTACAGCTGTGAGCCACCATGTCCAGCCTATATTTTTTATATATATGCATATATACATACATGTTATATGAGAATCTATATATATTTTGAATCTGATATGTTTAGGCCTTATAATGGGTCAGTTATTTTCTCTTAGTGTATGGCTTGCCTTTTCACTTTATAAAAAGTATCTTCTAAAGAGTAGAATTTATAATTCAAAGTTTGATTTATCTCCTTTTTGGTTCATGTTTTCTATGTCCTATCTAGAAAATCTTTACCTACCCAAGGTCATTAAGATTTTCTCCAGCATATTCTTTTATAAGTTTTATAGTTTCAGCTCTTAGATTCAGGTTTCCATCTAAGATCAGAAACAGAGTAAGATGTCTAATCTCAAAACTTCCAGTAAGCATTATACTGGAGCATCCTTTTCAGTGCAGTAAGGCATTAACAGGAAATGAAGGGCATGTAGATTAAAAAGGAAGTGAAACTACGTAGACAACCTGGTTGCCTACATTGACAATTTTAAGAAAGCTATAAAAAGCTACCAGAATAAGTGAGTTTAGCAAGGTTGCAGTAAAAAAAAAAAAAAAAAAATCGATTGTATTTCTGCATACTAGCCATGAACAGTTGACAGTGATGCACTGCAAGTTACTTTTGTATATGGTGCAAAGGGTCAAGGTCAGTGCTGTGGATACAGGTATTTAATTATCCTGGACCATTTGTTGAAAAGACTATCCACTCCCACTGAGTTACCTTAGCACCTTTGTAAAAAGTCTTTTGAGTTTACATGTATAAATCAATTCCTGGGTTCACTATTACATATCGTTGATTTATATGTCTATCTTTATTCAAGCACCCCAGTTGTTTGCTTAATGTAGTTTTACAGTCTTTAAGTCAGCAGATGTAAATCCTCCAACCCTTTTTTTTTCTTCTTCAAAATTGTGTCAGATATTCTAGGTCAGGGGTCTGCAATCCCTGGATTGCACAGCAGGGGGTGAGTAGCAGGGCCAGCTAGCAAAGCTTCATCTGTATTTACATTCTGGCCAGAGCTCCGCCTCCTATCAATCATCTACAGCATTACATTCTCCTACGAGCACAAACCCTATGGTGAACTGAGCATGCAAGGGATCTACGTTGCACGCTCCTTATGTGAATCTAATGCCTGATGATCTGTCACTATCTCCCATCACCCCCAGACGTGATAATCTAGTCTTCCATCCCCCTTAGATTGGGCTACTTGCAGGAAAACAAGCTCAGGGCTTCTGATTTTACATTGTGGTGAGTTGTGTAATTATTTTATTATATATTATGATGAAATAGTAATAGAAATAAAGTACACAATAAATATAATGTGCTTGAATTGTCCTGAAACCATCCCTCCCCTCCTCTCCCCCCAACCCCCATCCAAGGAAAAACTGTCTTCCAAGAAACTAGTCCTTGGGGCCAAAAAGGTTGGAAACCACTATTCTAGGTCCTTTGCATATCCATATACATTTTACAATCAGCTTGTTAATCTCTATCCTCCAAAAGCCTGCTTGGATTTTGACAGGAATTGTATTGAATCTATAGATCAATTTGTGATGTTAACACAATAACATCTTAACATTACTGACATTTCCAATTCACGAGCCCAGTAAATCTATTGATTTATTTAGGTCTTTAATTTCTCTCAGTAATGTTTTGTAGTTTTCACTGTTCAGATCTTGCACATAGTTCCCTATTTAATACTTATGATCTACTATAAATATCTATTCATATATATACTTTATTTCCAATTGTTAATTGCTAGTATGCAGAAATACAACTGATTGTTGCTTATTGACCCTGTATTCTTCAACCTAGCTAAACTAAACTGACTTATTAGTTCTAGTAGCTTTTTCATAGATTCCTTATGATTTTCAACATAGACAACTATGGTGTCTACAAAGTTTTACTTTTGCCTTTCTAATCTATATGCCCTTCATTCCCTTTTATTGCCTTACCGCACTGCAGAGGACCTCCATACAATGTTTACTCAAAGTGGTAAGAGCACACATCTCAATCTGCTCCTGATATCAGGTGGAAAGCTTTCATTCTTTCACCATTAAATATGATGCCACTGCTAGTTTTTTGTAAGGGTGCCCTTGTCAACTTTGAGAAAGTTCCCATCTGTTTCTAACTTGCTGAAAATTTTAATCATAAATGGATCCTGGTTTTTATCAGATATCATTTCTGCATCTAATGAGATGATCATATATTCTTCCTTTTAGTCTGTTTACATGGTGAATTACATTGGTTTTTTGAATGCTAAAGCAACCCTGTATTTGTAGGATGAACAATACTTGGTCATATTGTACTCTCCTATATATAAACTGTTGAATTTGGTTTACTAGTACATCTTGTGAATGGCTGCATGTATATTAATGAGAAATACTGGCTGGTAGTTTCTGGGTTTTGTTTGTTTGTTTTAAAGATAATGTTTTTGTCTGGTTTTGATATTAGGGTAATGCTGGTTTTACAGAATAAACTGAGAAGTATTCTATTTTCTGCAAATGATTATGTAGAATTGCTATTATATCAATGTATTTTGTCATTGTTTTAGATACTATATTTTTCACCTCTAGTAGTTTGATTTGGGTCCTTTTTATATTTTCCATTTCTCTCCTCCTCATGCTCGTGTCTTCCTCTATCTTAATGAACATATGGAGTATACTTATGGCAGTGACTGCAATGTCCTTGTGTGCTAATTCCATCATCTATCTCATTTTTTTTTTTTCTTTTTTTTTTGAGACGGAGTTTCACTCTTGTTACCCAGGCTGGAGTGCAATGGCGCGATCTCGGCTCACCGCAACCTCCGCCTCCTGGGTTCAGGCAATTCTCCTGCCTCAGCCTCCTGAGTAGCTGGGATTACAGGCATGTGCCACCATGCCCAGCTAATTTTTTGTATTTTTAGTAGAGACAGAGTTTCACCATGTTGACCAGGATGGTCTCGATCTCTTGACCTCGTGATCCACCTGCCTCGGCCTCCCAAAGTGCTGGGATTACAGGCTTGAGCCACCGCGCCCGGCTCATTTTTTAAATTGTACTTTAAGTTCTGGGGTACATGTGCAGATCATGCAGGATTGTTGCACGAGTACACACATGGCGATTAGGCTTGCTGCCTCCATCCCCCCGTCACCTACATCTGGCATTTCTCCCCATGTTATCCCACCCCCCCGCTGTCCCTCCTTTGCCCCCAGCCCAACAGACCCCAGTGTGTGATGCTCCCCTACCTGTGTCTATGTGTTTTCATTGTTCAACACCCACCTATGAGTAAGAACATGCAATGTTTGATTTTCTGTTCTTGTATCAGTTTGCTGAGAATTATGTTTTCTAGGTTCATCCACGTCCCTACAAAGGACAAAAACTAATCATTTTTTATGGCTGCATAGTATTCCATGGGGTATATGTGCCACATTTTCCTTGTCCAGTCTATCGTCAATGGGCATTTAGGTTGGTCCCCGGGTCTTTGCTTTTGTAAACGGTGCCACTATGAACATATGTGTGCATGTGTCTTTATAACACAATGATTTATAATCCTTTGGGTATATACCCAGTAATGGGATTGCTGGGTCAAATGGAGTTTCTATTTCTAGTTCCTTGAGGAAGCGCCACACTGTCTTCCACAATGGTTGAACCAGTTTACACTCCCACCAACAGTGTAAAAGCGTTCCT